CCAGTGGCCTCATGTACATGTAAAACAGATGTGGTGAGAGCATCAAGCTCTTAGGTACCCTGGGAGTGTAGATTTTGTTAAGTAGCAGAGGGGTTTTTTTTTGTCCTACTCTAGTGCTTAATTGAATGGGGAACTGATTGGTGCGTGAGTTGTTTATAACATTGCAAGAATGACATTGGTAAGGAAAAATACAGGATACTGGGCGTCTGTGGTGAGTCGGTGGGACTGAAAATGGTGTGTGAAAATCTCCCATCATCCCCTGGTCAGAACAACAAGGTGGGTTGGAAGCATGGAAGACAAATTGTACCGTCATTGATTTGTTTTTTATTTTAGTAATGAACTAATACTGCCTTAGAATTCAAGTCAGAAAATCTTCACTATCAACTAAGCTATTTCCTGCTACAAATCATAAATATTTCAAACCTTTTTCCACCAGAACTCATATATCTGTGCAAGTGTTTTTATGGGAGTGCAAGGAACCAGATTAAATGAGAATATAGTTATATATTTAATTTGGTGATGTTTCATCCTACAGAGCAAATTTCATAGTGACATAGTGAGAGGATGCAAGATAAACAGTATTTATAAGGAAGTAATGCCTATTAAAGTCAGTGACTGTTAACTTTTAAATAAATAAACTTGGGATTCTAGGTTTGGATAATGAACTTTTAAAATGTTCAGCTGAAAGTAAAATAACACGATGTTTCTTTTGTATGAAAACTTTTTAGCATCCAGATTTCCTAAACCACTGGTACCATTTAAGATGTCAATGCAACAGGTAGCATCAGCAGAACTACGTAGTAGGGCTTTGGGTACAGTACATTTTGCTATTTGTTGATAAATAAGGCATGATGTGAGTAAAAGGTGCTGGTCATATAACCTTACATCAGTGGTTCTCAACCTGTGGGTCGGGACCCCATTTGGGGTCGATCGACCATTTCATGGGGGTCGCCAAGCAAGGCTGTCCGCCATTTTTTTTGTCTGCCATTTTTTTGTCCGCCATTTTTTTCCCCTTTTCCGGCGGGTGCCTTACCTCCCTTGGGCTGGGCCAGCTGGTGGTCGGCCTGCTCCGTCTCTGCCGCTTGCCAGCTACGCCTCGGCCAGCGCAGGGGGCGGAACCACACATGCGCGGCACTCCCAGGCAGGGAAAGTCCTCAACTTACGACCGGTTGGGTAGTCCTCGATTTACGATTGGTTTAGTCCTCGACTTACGACCGGTTGGGGTCGCGGCATTAAAAAGGTTGAGAACCACTGCCTTACATGAACTTACTAATGTTTCCCCATCAAATTATCTGGCATGTGCTAATATAAATGCTTTTGGTTAATTCTGTCTGCATCAGCATTTGATTTCTTTCAGAGTAACAGTAAGGAGATGAGGGCTTTTGCTTCTAAAATCAAAATTATCCTAATTAACTGCCAAACCGGTCTAAAATAATTCTTAATCAGAATTTGCTTGCAGTTTAGTTTAAACTGATCTCACTTTAACTAAAGGACTTACCTTAGTGTTTTAAGCAGGTACAATAGTTTTTAGATGAAGTGAGAAAGGCTGTATCTGAAAAGCTTGTATATTCTGATAAGGCCTGTAATATACATTTTACTATGGGTTATTTTCAGTTTAATTTAGGAAACTGACATTTTGACATCTTTTTGTCTTGACTGGATGTAATAGCAAACCATGATTTGAAGAACAGTCAGACCTAATCAGCTGTCCTTTTGTTATGAAGCCTACTTGTAATAACTGGTTGGACCCTGAGAACAGCTGCCTTTTCCTGCTACTTGCTTGTTTCCAAGATTGTCTTATTTATTAATAATGTTACTCTAAAAGATTTTTTTGAAGAAGTGGCTTTGGATCGTGTTAGTGTTTATTTGCATGAGATTTAGAAACTCACCCAAGTGGTTTAATGCGCTCTTTAGCATTTGAAGCAAATGGTTGTTGTCATTGTAACTTGTGGAAATTAATTCCATATATACAGTAATTACACTTAGTATGAATAAAGTTACTGCTGATTTTCAATGATTACTATACAGCTGCTTTTCTCTGCCTGCTTTTTCTGCACTGGCTGTAATTTCATTCATTTCTGATGTGTTATTTTTTTATGAATGGAAAGTCTTACATCACTTTTACTCTTGTTGTTTTCAAACAAGGTACTACTGCCCACCTGATAATTTTCTTACATTTTTCAGCATATTATTATTATTATTATTATTATTATTATTATTATTATTATTTATTATTATTATTATTATTATTATTATTAATTATTAATTATTATTTATTTATTTATTATTATTATTATTATTATTATTATTATTATTATTATTATTATTATTATTATTATTATTATTTATTAAATTTATATCCCGCCCTTCTCCTTACGGACTCAGGGTTCAAATGTGGGTGACAAAGCATGGTTCAAATGTGGGTGACCCAGAAGAAACTGGTTCACAACTTGATAATACAAGCACTTCCTTATTCTTCCCCTCCATTTACTGATCCAAGCTTGCCATACAAAAATGCAAGCTATAGATTAAAAGTTCTGGTACAATACCAAACTGTCATCAAGAGTTGATGTGATTGTAGCACACAGTGGAAGAGAAAATACAGGTAGTCTTTGACTTAACAATCATTTGTTTAACAATGGTTCAAAGTTCTGATGGTGCTGAAAAAAAATGATGCAAGACTGGTTCTCACACTTAAGACCATTGCAGGATCTCCACTGTCAGGTGATCAGAATTTGGGCACCTGGCAAACGACAAGTATTGTCCTAGGACAGGGGTAGGCAACCTTGGCTCTTTTATGACTCGTGGACTTCAACTCCCAGAATTCCTGAGCCAGCCATGCTGAGGGGAAAGGGAGAGGTTTCCAAGCTCAGCCATGCTGGCTCAGGAATTCTGGGAGTTGAAGTCCACGAGTCATAAAAGAGCCAAGGTTGCCTACCCCTGTCCTAGGATCATATGATTGCCATTTGCAACCTTTCCAGAGGATTTATATATCCATGGTAGCACAGTGATTAGAATGCATATTGCAGGCTGACTCTGCTCACTGCCAGAAGTTTGATTCTGAATGGCTCAAGGTTGACTCAGCCTTCCATCCTTTCGAGATCAATAAAATGAGGACCCAGATTGTTGGGGGCAAGATGCTGACTCCGTAAACCGCTTAGAGAGCGCTGTGAAGCAGTCTAAGTGCTACTGCTATTTCCAACAGGCAAAATCAGTGGGGGAATCCATGTTTGCTAATGACTGCAGCAAAAAAAAAAAAAAGATAATTAAGCATGACTCACTTAATGGCTGTATCACTTAGCTATGGAAGTCCCAATTGTGGTCATTAGTCAACGACGACTTGTAAGAGATTGAAAAAAATATAGAAGAATATACATTTATACATTTTGAATGTGGGTTAATTTTAATATGTAATATTAGACAGAAAAGTACATATGGTATCTCAGCTCACAGAATTTTTTATCTATCTTTGAATGATAACTACTTTTTTATATTAATGAGGCCAAAAGAAAGAAGTTACTGTTAAAAGTATGTTTGATCAATATTTGCATATCCATGTAAAACCTGCAAATGAAACCATTGAAGCCTTTGTTCTCACAATCAGTTTCTAAGAGAATATTCCACTTATTGAAATAAGGTTAAAATATTGATTTGGTTCCTGTGCCTCTTATCCAGCAGTGCAAATTTCCTTTATTATACCATGCCATTTTTAAAGGATTCTTGAATAAAATCTTCCTTTGTACAAAGAGGGGGGGAAAAATCTGCTTTTGTTGTAATGTATTTAAGATTCTCACCCTCAAGTGACTTTCTGGCTTTGCCTTAACAGACAGATTGGTGAGAGAATACGTATCTTTATATTTTGAAATACTACCATATTGAGCCACAGAAAATAAATTCAGGGAAGATAAAATCCTTCGATCTGTATGTGTAGATTTCTTTATTTCATCTTTCAGAGGCTCTGAACTGGCATATATTTATATTTGCATTGTATTGTTTCTATTTTCTCCTCTTACTCCAGGAGCTTTACATGGAGAAACAGGTTAGACTGTGCTAAATAGTCATCAGAGCTAAATTTGATGCAATATATAATTGTGTGTGGACATTGCTTAACGTTGTAATGAACTCTGAGTCTTGCTGAATGTGATTTGTGAATGCAGCCATCGTGGTTTGCAAAGAAGGAGTCATAATGTTACTGATTAAATTATATCCATTTGCCATAATTCTTTGCCAAGCATGATCAGTACTTTTGTTCTTGAATCATAAGCAACTATCCCTATAGGCTGTTTATCACAAAAATGGGTTTAGGGCATATGTCTTTATATTGCTTCAATCAAGTGAATCTAAGCAGCTTAAAGAGAAATATACTGCACATTGCAAACAGAAATTAAAATCTTTAATAACCCACAAACCTTAAACTTCATGACATCCTTAATTCTCTAATATGGCTGGTGAATATAAGTTACACTGCCAATTTTTGGTGATCCACTGCTTAAGAAATTTCTTTCCATTGTTAATTAAATCAGTTTTATTTCCTGAGTAATCCTTGAAGTCAGTGGAAATTGATAAAGATTTCTGACATGGAGCTGTTTGATAGCCATAAGCTAATGTTACAAAATTATTCTTTGCAGTTTAATATTTTTTATAGTACTGGTTTAGGGGTCAAGGTAGTTCTGCCTTCCCTGGCTAAGAATGGAATTTATTCAGGTAATGAAAGAATAAATGATTTTTTTTCACAGTCTGCTTCTTGCCCATTCCTTGAATATGATAAGCCATTTTAAATTGTGGGTTATTAACATAGTGGTAACAAAGTTAAGAAAAAATGTGTCGTTTTTCGTGACTGAAGAGGCCATTCTTTTAATCCCAATTAAGTCTGTGGAGAATCTACCTTACCTATATTTTTTTCATCAGAATTATTTTACGTGTTCACATTTAAACAGTGCTGTGTACAAAATAACTAGCCAAATATGTCTGTGCTTATATTTTCCTTTGTTTAAATTTAGAGAAGCTGGAGGTTGCGCCACCAAACACCGGACAACTGAAACATGGTAAATGTATTATTATTATTTTTTTAAAAAAAAAATCAGATATTTTCATGGGTTAAGGAATTGAAAGCCTCAAAGAACTGCAGTGTTACCACTTTTAGTTATTTAGCTGTTACTTTTAACTTTTTTTGGGGGGGACAGTATTTGCCATGCTAATTCAGCGTCTATAAGAGAGTGGTCTGCTCTGATGAGGATCTCTTGAATTCTTCCTCATCTCTCTCCCAGTTACAAATTGGCTAAAATTACTTGTTCAGCTGTGTCCAGAGCAATTTTGTCACTGATTCCTCTACGTATGTGTGGCTTTTTCCTCTGTATCACCCTTACTGCAGATGGAATTATTTAGAAAGTACCCAGAATGAATCTGGCCTTTCAAAGAAAGTCACTTTGGTGTTTGCGATTGCTGCATACAAATTGCTGGTAGTTAGCTGTATTCAAGAGAGTATGAAAAGACTCTTCTGGTTTGGGTTATTCATCGAAACAGTGTCATGCCTGGGATTTTAAGCACGTTTCAATCCTTATTTGGATAAATAATGTCATATTATTTGATGTAATTACAAATGGCGATTAAATACGTAAAACATTGTACGTCTCTCTCTGTTCTAGTGTTCTTCCACAATGCAGTACCTTTTGTAGGCTTTGGATTTTTTGATAATGCCATTATGATTGCTGCGGTAAGTCATCTTGGTACCAATCTTTATATATTCTGAAATATTTCTGTTGGTAGTATTGCAGCAGTGCAGCATTGCTAGTTTCGGTTCTGCTTTAACACACCATTACAACAATGCAGAACCACGCATATTGCTTTGGGGGTCTTCTGGAGGAATTGGGTGAGCAGGTGGTGCCCCCTCCCCCATTTTACACTGGCATTGTTTCCTACAAGTGATTCCTGAAGTTCTGTCTACATCAGGGGTGTCAAACTGCCAGCCCGCGGGCCGGACGCGTCACCAAGAAACCACGCCCACCCTATTGGCGGCAATGGAGAAAAAGCTCCGATACGTTGTGTGACGTCGCGAGTTTGACATGTCTGGTCTACATAATGTGTGGATAATAATGAAACTCTCTTGTTATTTTTAGGGCACACAGATAGAGCTATCAATAGGGATTGTGTTTGGAATTTCTACCATGGCAGGCAAGTAATCAAGGTCATTGCCGTTTATGTGGATTTTTATAGCTATTTATTTATCATTTAAGTCTATGTGTGCAGTGAAATTCATATTGACCTGTCCTTTGGTTTGGACACAACTTTTTGATTGCTTTTTTAAAAACAGGTTAAAGGATGAGTCACTTGGCATTAGGCCATTGTAGGATGTTGGATTTTGGCTAAGTCTGCTGTTACGGTTTAACAATCTGTAGTTTAGCTTGATATGTATCCAGCCTTTCCATATGAAGAACTGGCTCCTCATTTTGCTTCCAGCTTTTGAAGAAATTTGTTTTATCTTTTACGTGTTATTTAATAGTTTGACGTTAGAAAGCTTGGTATAATTTTGAGACATAGAATATGCTTTCTTCAAATAAAATAAACACTACTGTACTTAGTTTTAAATTCAATTTCGAATATTGGTTTATCGTAGATGAACCATTGTTGATGATCTTGCTTTGGAGAATATAAACAGTGTTTTGTTGGAGCAGATTAAAGATCTGTCACATCAATATTCCCTTCCCATAGAGGCCAGTGGGATACCTGCAGAAAATAACATGTAGCTTTCACGATGCTTGATTTCTAGTTTGAGCTAATCATCCATACATATTTATACTAAAGAATGGAGAACAGAGGTATAGTCTTTGTGAGACATTAAGTACTTTACAATTCATATTGTTATATTATTTTCCCTGGTTTCCAGCTTGATTCTGGGCTCAAATCAAAGTTCTTTTTTGACTTAAAATATCTTCTTAGGAATTGCACATCTAAAATTTTTTTTCCTAAAGTTCCTCTTTTGAGGACTGTATTTCAGATTCTCCCAGTACCAAAAAAATAAATAAATCTGAGACAGCCTCTTCACTTTTAATAGCAATAACTTAGAAGTGCTTATGCTCCTAGAGATCAGCCATGGCCAATTACTAAACAATTTTGTAAATTACCCTGCTAAATTTGTGATGCTCTAATACCTTTTTTTTAAATGATAGCTGATTGATTGATGTTATGTTTTATTTTATACCATGTTGAAAAGCAGCTTTTATGAGGTATATAAATATATCCAAAAAATAGTCTTCAGAATAATTTTAGTTTTAAGCAATAATTTGCTGGATATTTCTGCAGTGTGTTACTAATTTATATAATACTGGAATTTTCCAACTTTCTAGCTGCTGCCTTGGGAAATCTTGTCTCAGACTTAGCTGGATTGGGGTAAGTTTAATTATATTTTTTNAGCAGCTTTTATGAGGTATATAAATATATCCAAAAAATAGTCTTCAGAATAATTTTAGTTTTAAGCAATAATTTGCTGGATATTTCTGCAGTGTGTTACTAATTTATATAATACTGGAATTTTCCAACTTTCTAGCTGCTGCCTTGGGAAATCTTGTCTCAGACTTAGCTGGATTGGGGTAAGTTTAATTATATTTTTTTCATGAACATGCAGTATTTTTCTATAATAGAACATTTGAAGCTCAAAATGCCTTGCTAGTCTTAGCTCAGAATGATAGCTGGAAAAGCAGCCTAATAACTAGCAACCTGGTTTGAACATGGAAATGTTTTGTACGTTCCCTCGTGTTTTTAATTTTGATATATTTATCGGGATTTGAGGATAGGCTGGTACAGAGTAATGAAGCTGGAACGTGAAGTACAATTCAAGTTAGGGTGTTGGAGCAAAGGGTGTAACCTAGATTAGTGCCTGCTGTCCTGAAGTTCATATTTTCTCATTCTGTTTTGAATTTTTACCCTGTTCTCAAATCTGGTAATAATATGTGAAGAAAAATGGGAATTTGAGGAGCTGACAGTAGTGTGACCAAAACAGCCATGTAGTGAGGAACTGTATTTTTATTAAATTTATATTCTGCTTTTCCAGGGAAAATTTAGCATTTAAGGAGGTTTAATAAATTTAGCATGATTTAAGAATATAATGATTCAAAACAAAAATATTTCACATTAAGTGTTTTTAAAAAAGGCAAGAATGATAAAAAATACGGAAGGGGAAAGGAAGAGGCTTAGGTTTTTGCCACCTATGCTATATACCTACATTAGAATGTTTATGTGTATTAATACCACTTTACAGTGCCTTGGTAAGGCCACACTTGGAATACTGCATCCAGTTTTGGTCACCACAATGTAAAAAAGATGTTGAGACTCTAGAAAGAGTGCAAAAAAGAGCAACAAAGATGATTACGGGACTGGAGGCTAAAACATATAAGGAACGGCTGCTGGAATTGGGTATGTCTAGTTTAATGAAGAGAAGGACGAGGGGGGACATGATAGCAGTGTTCCAATATCTCAGGGGCTGCCACAAAGAAGAGGGAGTCAGGCTATTCTCCAAGGTGCCTGAAGGCAGGACGAGAAGCAACGGATGGAAACTAATCAAGGAGAGAAGCAACCTAGAACTAAGGAGAAACTTCCTGACAGTTAGAACAATTAACCAGTGGAACAACCTGCCTCCAGAAGCGGTGAATGCTCCAACACTGGAAGTTTTTAAGAAGAAACTGGACAGCCATTTGTCCGAAATGGTATAGGGTTTCCTGCCTGAGCAGGAGGTTGNAGCAGCTTTTATGAGGTATATAAATATATCCAAAAAATAGTCTTCAGAATAATTTTAGTTTTAAGCAATAATTTGCTGGATATTTCTGCAGTGTGTTACTAATTTATATAATACTGGAATTTTCCAACTTTCTAGCTGCTGCCTTGGGAAATCTTGTCTCAGACTTAGCTGGATTGGGGTAAGTTTAATTATATTTTTTCATGAACATTCAGTATTTTTCTATAATAGAACATTTGAAGCTCAAAATGCCTTGCTAGTCTTAGCTCAGAATGATAGCTGGAAAAGCAGCCTAATAACTAGCAACCTGGTTTGAACATGGAAATATTTTGCACGTTCCCTCGTGTTTTTAATTTTGATATATTTATCGGGATTTGAGGATAGGCTGGTACAGAGTAATGAAGCTGGAACGTGAAGTACAATTCAAGTTAGGGTGTTGGAGCAAAGGGTGTAACCTAGATTAGTGCCTGCTGTTCTCAAGTTCATATTTTCTCATTCTGTTTTGAATTCTTACCCTGTTCTCAAATCTGGTAATAATATGTGAAGAAAAATGGGAATTTGAGGAGATGACAGTAGTGTGACCAAAAAACAGCATGTCGTGAGAAACTGTATTTTTATTAAATTTATATTCTGCTTTTCCAGGGAAAATTTAGCATTTAAGGAGGTTTAATAAATTTAGCATGATTTAAGAATATAATGATTCAAAACAAAAATATTTCACATTAAGTATTTTTTAAAAAGGCAAGAATGATAAAAAAATACGGAAGGGGAAAGGAAGGGGCTTAGGTTTTTGCCACCTATGTTATACCTACATTAGAATGTTTATGTGTATTAATACCACTTTACAATGCCTTGGTAAGGCCACACTTGGAATACTGCATCCAGTTTTGGTCACCACGATGTAAAAAAGATGTTGAGACTCTAGAAAGAGTGCAGAAAAGAGCAACAAAGATGATTAGGGGATTGGAGGCTAAAACATATAAGGAACGGCTGCTGGAATTGGGTATGTCTAGTTTAATGAAGAGAAGGACGTGGGGGGACATGATAGCAGTGTTCCAATATCTCAGGGGCTACCCCAAAGAAGAGGGAGTCAAGCTATTCTCCAAAGCGCCTGAAGGCAGGACAAGAAGCAATGGGTGGAAACTAACCAAAGAGAGAAGCAACCTAGAACTAAGGAGAAACTTCCTGACAGTTAGAACAATTAACCAGTGGAACAACCTGCCTCCAGAAGCGGTGAATGCTCCAACACTGGAAGTTTTTAAGAAGAAACTGGACAGCCATTTGTCCGAAATGGTATAGGGTTTCCTGCCTGAGCAGGAGGTGGGACTAGATGACCTCCAAGGTCCCTTCCAACTTTATCATCATCATCATCATCATCATCATCATCATCATCATCATCATCATTATTATTATTATTATTATTATTATTACCTTTATTGTCATTTTTTCCCTGTGGGCACAACGGCACACATTAAAAATGAAATTTAGTTGCTTGCTCTCAAGTGTACACACACACACATGTGCTTATGAATTAATGAATATTGCATTCCAGATTAAAAATGCTCCCTTTTCTACTGTGTAATTTATTGTCAGTACAGAATTTTATACAACCTGATTCTTTATTGTAATTGCTCACTATTTTTCTACGGTTAATCAAAATTAAGCAAAATTGGTACCAGTATGTTTCAGAGATTCATGTGCTCAATGTAATTGTATTTTTCTCCCAAGTCTTGCAGGCTATGTTGAAGCTGTGGCCTCCAGGTTGGGCCTTTCAATTCCCGATCTCACACCCAAACAAGCTGATATGTGGCAAACACGTCTTAGTGCACACTTGGTGAGTATGTGCATTTATGGATGAGAGTTCAAGTGAAACCAAGACAGAGAAAAATAGCAACTTCAATATTGCCTAAATATTAGAATTTGGATACCAAGTATGTATGCATTATTACCTATTATTCCTGTGGGGATAAAAATAGAAACGGAATATTTTAGTATACATTATGCATCATAATCTGCATGCAATTGATTCTGACAAGAGGATTTCAAATCCACTTAATTGCACATTATTTCCTGTGCAAAGTGATGAGCTCTTAAACTGAAAACTTCACCCTGAACAACATAAATGATGTTAATTGTATGTTCAGTATCGGATTTGATCCTAAATGAACATTCCATTCTCTTTATCCCCCCCCCCTTATTATTATTATTTTTTTAGGGTAAAGCTATTGGAGTGACCATTGGCTGCCTTTTAGGAATGTTTCCATTGTTCTTCCTTGGAGAAGAAGAAGACAAAAAACTGGATGGAAAAAAATAACCTTTTTACAATATTTATCTATACATATATAAACTAATGTACCTCAGATATACAACTATGCTGTCCCAAGTATATAGGAATTTAGAGACAATAACAAGCAGCATGCCATTTTACAGAAACACTTAACTTATTGTGGCTTTGTCTTAGTAACATCTTTTTATAAGGGTTTTTCCTTTTTTTAAATGTAAATTTGTTGACATGCGATTTCACTTAACACTGATGGTTGATGTTTACCATGTCTCCCTCTTTGTTGGGTTCCTTCACCTGGATTGTTACTTTAATTACCTGCCATTGACGCAGTGTACAGTGTTTGGGTTTGCAGAATTTCTTAGCCTTCGGAAACGCATGGCACAAATTGCCCTGGATATTCACAAAATCTCAGACTTTAATGTAGTTAGTTAGGTGACAGCTGCCTTAGGAAATATCATGCTGTAACTTTCTTGCTTTCATTTGTCTTGCGGCAATATTTGAACCCAGGTGCCTGAAGCAAAGCCGGTTAGACCAGGGGTCTTCAAACGTGGCCCTTTTATGACTTGTGGGCTTCAACTCCCAGAATTCCTCAGCCAGCGTGCCTGGCTGAGGAATTCTGGGAGTTGAAGTCCACAAGTCATAAAAGGGCCACGTTTGAAGACCCCTGGGTTAGAACAAGTGTTAACTTGTGGAAGGAGTGATGGAGAAATATTTTGGCAAGGCCATTGTACAGACCCATTTTATGGTCGGTTTTTTCCCCTCTAGGCAGAGTATGTCACTAAATTATCCAGGTGGGAGTTTAGATCAAAGCGACCGTACAAGTTGATATCGCCAATAATAGCTAGCATGCAATGCAGCAGATTTGGGAAGTGTCTAAAACATCTTGCCTCTGCAGCAAGTATTCATTCTCAGATTTCCATTACTGAATATTCTCACCCAATTGTTTGTGTGCATGTTTGTTTTGCCACAATATATTTGAAAATCGGGCTTAGCCTTACCCAACCCATGAACCTCCAACCTTGCCTATCTTTCTAAACCAGAAACAAGCATAATATTAATCAGGCCAAACTTCATTCCTGATCTGAAGGCATTAGGAAACGGGATGAAGTTTCTGTTGGATGTAGAAGGAGATGTATCTGGCATGGTGCCGAACAGAAGAGCAGTGTGAAGGTGAGAAGTTGGATATAAGACGAGAGCAAAGGAGAATTTAGAAGAAAAATAAAGCAAAATATTAAGCCTTGAAATATATGGCTGCCCTCCCTCCCCCCAAATGCGCTGATTTTAGTGTGCAACAAATTTCTGCCACTGTTGCATGTTTTTCTGCTTTAGCAATTCAAGAGTAATGATATATGTGTCCTTGTCTGTGAATGTCAGTGGGGGAGAATGGTAATCAGGTGGTCTAAAATTGACACTGTCTGGACGAGTGATTAATCTGTGCAGATTTTAATTTACAGAAATAAACTTGTTTACTTTTCATTTAATAGGGTTTCTTTTCATTTTGCCTTGTGCTTGCAGTTACTGTGCAGTATTCAAAGGAACTGAAACTTCCTAAAGAGCATTATGTTTTCTTGATTATGTGGTGGGTATATTCTGAGCATTTTCTTTTTATTAAATAAAGAGGACTGTTTGTTCATCTGACGTTTCCAGTGAAATATATTTACTTGAAAGACCTAAATAGCCCATTTGATCACAAAATCATGTGCCTCGTGTTCTGTCTAGATATTTTGCAACAACTCAGAATTGGCAAAGGATGAACCACATACAGTTCCCAACTTCTAACACCAAGAATTGCACTGCTAAAATTACTGACAAATTACTGTATTGGAGGAACATTGCAATCATTGCTCATATAGGAGGAACCAAGCCTGAAAAAGGAGAACAAGTTGGGGAACATTATTTCGGTTGGCTTTAAACACCGACAAAAATGTAGCGGGAACAACACTGAACGCTACTCTGGTCCTCTATAAATCATTTTTAAAATACAAACACGTATTCTAAATAAATGCCAATCCCCATCTTAAACTTCCATATAATTCCTTCTAATTGGGTGAAACTACTTAGTTGCATATACCCTTACTTTCTGGGAGAAACTGGATAAAAATCCTATAAAGGTTAGTGAAAAAGGGCATTGCCTTGAAGTAAAAGTGGAAATCCTTTAGTTTCCAATCTTGCCTCTAAGCATGTGCATTGTTTGAATTCACACAAAGCAATAAGCTCAGATGCTGTACATGTATTTTGGAGCAATTGAGGGCTGCCATTGCACGATCTAGGAAAACACAGATGATGTAACACTTGTAGACAGATACCATATGGAGATTCCTGAAGCATGTTTTGGCCTTTGAAGCTGAAGAACTGCATATCTCTTCAAAGCTACTTTTTACATTAGTGAATTGAACCAACCAGCTATTGTGGTTTGTTCAGTAAACTATGATTAATAAATCAGCTTAATGTGGTGGTTAAATAATGCTCCTTTATTGGTTTGTCTTCGGAATATTCAAAGATGTGCATGTAATAATAAATACAATTATTTTTGATAGCTCAGTGCATTAATTTTACATCAATACTTGCTTCGTTATTAAAGAAGTATATATTCCTTGTTTCACATTGAATTTTCACACTGGCTTCAAGAAGTTGCACATACATATTTGATTATTTTTATTTTTATTTCTGATGACATATTCCGCTTTTTTCCTTTGGCTTAGCTTTTATGTTATATCATTTGAAGGAATTGAAAATATTCTTCAGATAGATAATACATTTATATGAGCTGACAAACTGATTGGACACAACATTCCATCCCATATCTTTTGTTACAGAAGAAGAACATAAAACCTATCCAACGTAGTAATTTGTGTTCATGAAGTATATAACTTAGTTGTATATTTGTTTATATTTTGTTACTATGTATCAAATTATTGAAGTGGAAAACATCCTTAACAAAAGGAAATGAACTAGTTGTCTGATACTCTACAGCAGATCTGGGCATTTTATGGCCTTGAGCCACATCTGGCCTTTTGGTTGTCCCTGTCCAGTCCACAGGAGGTTAATTGGAAATTAGAAATCAAATATAAGTCTATGCCATGCATGCAATACAACTGCATTGCTTTTATTTTGAAGGCCACTGCTATTTTTTTTTCCAATTTAGTATGTTGCATGCATGCGTGCCTGCACACCTTCAGAGCCCTGTTTGGCCTTCCACAACAATCCCTGTTTCTTTTGTGGCACCTTGGGAAAAATCAATTGCCCACTCTTGCACTGTATGTATTCTTGTATTAAGTGCTCCTTGCTGTCATACATTATAATGAATAGTGCCAGTTATCATGGTGGTTCTATTAAGTAATATAAGTAAATGCTACTAAAAATGTGCCATCATTGTTTAGACCAGGGCTTTTCAACCTTTTCATCCATTGTACCACTTTTAGGATATGACAATATCCGAGTACCACCAGTCGCATAGCAAGGTGTCAAAAACTTGATGACAAAAAAAAAAGTGATAAAGTGATAAAGTACAGGTAGTCCTCGACTTACAACAGTTCGCTTAGTGACTGTTCGAAGTTACAATGGCACTGGAAAATAGTGCCCCCCAAGCCACAGCCGAGCAAGACACCTTCCTGCCTGCCTGGCGACACTCTTCCTCCTGTCCGAGGTTTTCATTGTTGTGAGCATTTCTGTTGAGGATTGGCAGTGGGGGTGGGATGGGGGGGTATTTGTTTTTTATTCCCTCTGTCTGCTGGGTGGTTGCAGCAGGTTTTGGTCACTTCACATGACTCTGGGACACTATGACCATCATAAATATGAATCAGTTGCCAAGCATCTGAATGTAAAACACAAGACCCTGGAGATGCTGCAACATTCCAGCTGCTCAGCGCTTCTGGGCTCAGCAGAAGTGCCAGGATCAGCGCCAAGCTCCAGCTGGAGCCTGGCGCTGATTCTGGCACTTCCACTGACAGCCCTGAAGAAGCGCTGATCCTGGCGCTTCCGCTGAGCCCTGACAGCCCTGCAGCTCCAGCCATCGCTCACTCAGGTTTGTGCGGTGCTGCCACCAGTTCAGCTCATTCCCCTCCCCTGCTACTTTTCTAGGATGGTCGTGTACCACCTGCCAGGTGCCAATGTACCACAGGTGGTACCCGTACCACTGATTGAAAAGCCTTGGTCTAGACAATATCTCCAAACAGGAGTGTAGAATCAGAGCCACAAATTTTATTACTAACGGTTGACAGAAATTCACTATTCCAATTAAATTTGCCCAGACCTTTCATCAGCAATGTTATCTAGCAGTGCAACAGATATGGTCCCACAAATATGCAAAGAACGGGCACATAAAACACAGCTAACTTTCCCGGTAGAATTATTTTTGAATAAACTAAAAGGTAATCAAAGACAGCAACCATTGACTTACAGAGGCTGTCCTTAAAGCAATATTTGTACTTTTGGAGATGTTTTTGCTGCTGTCCTAGATATGAAGACAGAAGCTAGCTTCTGGAAATTAAGTTGCCTGTTGATCCTTCAGTGTAATCCTGAAATTAAAACACCGTTCTGAAATCTGTATTGTAGATTATTCTCATTTATGGTTTGTATGCCAGGGTTGTGCAGAGATTGGTGGAATTTGGATCAGTTTGATCAGTCTCTCTGCTTCCATCTGAATGCTAAGAGGGTCTTAAAAATAGGATTGAGAATGTAATCCTACTAGATACTATTATCTAGCCCCACTACAGATGCTTCAGTAGTTGGCAGCACATAAACATTCTATTCATTGGAACAGTAAATCTTGTCACACAGAAATTTATTCCTCTTCACTTTTTTCACAAAAAAGGGCTAAAAGTATTACACATTTCAACGGCTTTCTTATTTGGAAATGGGGTGATGGTAGTGCTCTGTGTTCATGAAGATATTAAGTAAGTCACATCTGATTTTATGAACATTTTTGCCATAGTTGTTAAGCAAATCTGCAATACTTAAGTGAAATATGCTGCTGTTAAGTGGATCCAGCTTCTCTGCTTGTCGGAAGGTGGCTGGGAAGGTCATAAATGGTGATCACTTCATTCCAGGATGGTGGAATTGTGGCAAATACAGTACATGATAAGCACCTGAATTACTGCAATGGCTGTAAGTGTGAGGATCAGTCATAAGTCACATTTTTCAGTGCTGTTGTCAACTCAGTCTCCAGACAAGTGGCTGCAAGTCGAGAACTATCTGTATCTTTTCACATTAAATACGTATTAAATATACAGTACTTCAGCCACTCCTTTCTGGATTCAGAAACTAAGCAGGCAAAGGCATGGTTAGTGTTTGGATGGGAGACCTCAAGGACCAACAGAATTGAAGATTAGACTTGAAAGTGGAGCATATTCTGGAAAAGCAATGGTAAAAGCACATCACTCCCAAACGGCTGCCAAGAAAACTTTATGGATGTGAAGTTAACCTGGAATGAAGTTTGACCAAAGAACTTTGTATTATAGAATAACAGAATAACGGATGGAAGGTCTTCTAGTAATCTAGTCCAAACCCCGCTCAATCAGGAAAGCCT